TTCTCTGAAAAGGTTTGTTCCAACCTTGAATTTTATTAAAAAGGCCCTGTTGATTTAGCTAGAATTGTTATCTGCTAAATAGAGGGAATGTTTCTTCATTTATTTCCTAAAGGACAGGTGACAAGAACAAGTGTTTCGATAATTGCAGTTATTGAACTAAAGAAGTATTTTAATAAATAAAACTTCGAAATTACTGGGTTCACCAAAACAGCATTTAAAGAAAGCTCAAAGATAACCATTTAGAAACAACTGTCTCAACGCAAGTCAAAATAATTTATTTCTGCGGCCGGGGGAGGGGGGTTGGGGGGTTGGGGGGTGGGTGGACGCGCCGTGAATGAATAATTTAGCCCTCGTAGACAAATCATAATTTGCGATCCTTTCAACACGTAGTCTATTGTTTAGTTTCCTGACAAGCTCGCAGGTGCAATATTATCCGGCTTGAGTGGAAAATCTTCAAGCTTATCGTTTATCGCCGAGCGAGCGTTACTCAGTTTGCGGTTCTGTTACAAGTTTGCCTTTGGGGTTGTGTTGTCGGCGAAGAATTGAACCTGCCAACATGGTAAGTACTACATTCATTTGCGGTAATTTGTCACCGCTTGTAGAATGTTTATCCGTGATCAAGTTACTTGGGTTTCTTCTCTTGACGAGTCAGATTTGTTTTGACAAATGTACGGTGCCATTGATATGCTCTGTTTTTTTTTTAAATATAGATGTAAACGTTGAAAGTATCAAGTTCCCATTTCCTTCCTATATTTTATGTAGACAAAAACGAAACGGAGCTCTACATATATTTGGAGATCGCCGTAGAATCTTTTTTTCTAACATACTGAAAAATGAAAAACATCAGAGATTAGCTTCCGTTATCCGAGAAGAGCTCCGAAATTCTTCGATTTCGTTTGGTTACCTTTGCGACTTTGGAATCGATCGATATACAACAAAATTATTGGTCAGCGCTGTTCAAGGACAGAAGAAAACTTAACATTACTCGAGCAACTGTCAAACAAGTTTCAAACTTGACTGTTCTCTTCTTCAAGTATCATTCAATAAAACCAGCGTGGTTTATATTTAAATGGTATCCGTTCTCTGTCCACAGCGTGAGTGCATTTCTGTTCATATCGGACAAGCCGGCGTTCAAATTGGCAACGCTTGTTGGGAACTCTACTGCTTGGAACATGGAATTCAGCCGGATGGACAAATGCCCAGCGACAAAACTATTGGTGGAGGAGACGATTCGTTCAACACTTTCTTCAGTGAGACTGGAGCTGGAAAGCACGTCCCTCGAGCCGTGATGGTCGACTTGGAGCCAACGGTGGTTGGTATGTGCGAAAAAAAAAGTTTATTGTTCTTTTGATGCCCATTAATGTTTAAAATGTACCCGTGTGTTTTATTGTGGTTTTGTTGACTTTTAGTGTTTCAAAGTCACGGTCGCACAAGCCTGCTCACGGACTTACATACTCTTTCTTGGACGATTTGTGTTGTTTAATTTCGTATGTGAATTTGTGCCGTTGTTTCCTTGAGAAAACTTATACAATACCGATACCATGTTAACAAAAAGACCATAAAGCAAAATACATTTGGTGTAGATATTGAAACAACTTTGCTATGGTCAAACGTAATTTAATTTACACGACCACTCATGCGGTTTGGTATCTAGTGATCAGTGTTTTTTTGTTGAGTCTCTGCCAGTTGCAGACCAATATTTCTTATCATTATGATTATTATTATGAAGCTGCGCATCCATGACACCGTCTAACTCGATTACAATTGTCAAATCAAAGGGATAATCCCAACACATTTTCTTCATAATTATCGAGTTGACGAGCTAGCCAGCAATTGTTTTAGAAAAGCGCACTGCAAGATTTATTTGATCTTTTGAAGAAAAGTACACGGCAAGATTTATTTGATCTTTTAAAGAAAATATTAGAGAAATTATCGAGATGATAGCCTTTGTAATCGTTTGTTTACACAGAGCAGGTGTTTGCTGTGTTATTCGAATTTTCCCAGGAAAGATAAACATCCGAAGAAATCGTTGGAACATGTAGCTTGTTTTCTTTAAGTTTCTTTATCTCAGAGACTTAATAAAAAAATTTGAAACCTCATGCTATTTTCTTTTTTTGTTTCTCCCTAAGAGTATCCAGTTAAAACATTAAAGCATTAGCAAGCGTTGGTTTAATTTTTTTTTGGTTGTGAAAAAATTGTCATTGTTAGTTTTATTGTGCAATTTAGTTCACGGTATGTTATTGCTTTGTTTCATGTACAGACTAATTTACGATTCTGCGAACACACAGTCACGATCTTAACATATAATATGATATATAAGAAATAGCCTCCATTTAGCTTCAAAATATGCTCGGATATTTGTCCGCGGACATTATCTGTCCCGAGAAGCGAACAGTTTTCCGAGAGCGTAGCTCGAGGAGAATTCGCTTCTCGGGACAGATTAAGTCTAAGGAAAAATATCTCAGGACATTTTCCCGCCAAATGGAGGTTATTGTGTTTATTATCCTTCAGATATTTTTCGCAACACGCGCAGCTTTGAAAATTGGGGAATACTGACTCGGATGTTCCCCAGTTTTATCTGGGGCATATTCAGTCAAGTGACGCGTTTAGACGAATCGCGCGAAAAATATTTGTTGGATTATAAGAATAAATAGCATTGTTGAAATCGTAAAACGGCTACCAGAAAGACTCGGTTCTTTCTTGATGATCGTGTAATAATCATTAGTCTTTTCATTTATCGCACAGATGAAGTCCGCACTGGTACGTACCGTTGCTTATTTCACCCTGAGCAGTTGATAAGCGGCAAGGAGGACGCCGCTAATAATTATGCTCGCGGGCATTACACTGTTGGAAAAGAACAAATCGACCTTGTTCTCGACAGAATCAGGAAACTGGTAAGTAACACTGAAGAAGTATAGTGTCGTGTTGCTCATTTCCCATTCCACATCATTTTCTGAAACCAAGATTCATTATAATAGGAGAGAGATGTGGCGTTTAGAAACACTGTCGAAAATAGAAATCCCCACCAACCTCCATGTAAACGAATGCATGGAAGAATTTTGTTCCCAATATTTGTGTTGTAAATTGTAATAAGTTATTATTAACAGGAAACTCTTGCATGTGATATTTAATAGTGACATTGGGCGGATGACGTTCTATACAGTCCTCTACCCCCAACCAACTAAATTAAACCGCCAGCTATGCAGTCTATGATATGGTCAGTTTTGTTGACTTCGTATAATTTCAACCATAAAATAAGTGAGATATTACGTGCTCTCTCATTGGTCGATAGGTGTGCTTAGATGAGAGTGTAAACACGGTTGTGACGTTTTAGATTCGCGCGTATTTTTTGAGACTTATTTTATAAAAGCAATACAGTACTTTTTCCGTGCTTTAATACATAGCCTCATCTAAACACTAGCTCGGGGGGTTGGGAGAATTCTCGAAAGTTATGCAAACTCGAGACTGTATCTTGAGTGTTCATAAATGTCTCGAATTCTCCGAATCCCCCTTTGCTTAATTGAGGTTATGTAAACACGGAAAAATTGNTTTCACCCTGAGCAGTTGATAAGCGGCAAGGAGGACGCCGCTAATAATTATGCTCGCGGGCATTACACGGTTGGAAAAGAACAAATCGACCTTGTTCTCGACAGAATCAGGAAACTGGTACGTAACACTGAAGAAGTATAGTGGCGTGATACTTATTTCCCATACCACATCATTTTCTGAAACCAAGATTCATTATGAAAGGAGAGGGATGTGGCGTTTAGAAACACTGTCGAAAATAGAAATCCCGACCAGCCTCCCTGTAAACGAATGCATGGAAGAATTTTGTTCCCAATATTTATGTTGTAAATTGTAATAAGTTATTATTAACAGGAAACTGTTGCATGTGATATTTAATGGTGACTTTGGGCGGATCACGTTCCTACACGGTCCTCTACCCCCAACCAACTAAATTAAACCGCCAACTATGCAGTCTATGATATGGTCAGTCTTGTTGACTTCGGATAATTTCAACCATAAAATAAGTGAGATACTACGTGCTCTCTCATTGGTCGATAGGTGTGCTTAGATGAGAGTGTAAACACGGTTGTGACGTTTTAGATTCGCGCGCATTTTTTGAGATTTATTTTATAAAAGCAGTACAGTACTTTTTCCGTGTTTTAATACATAGCCTCATCTAAACACTAGCTCGAGGGGCTGGGGGAATTCTCGAAAGTTATGCAAACCCGAGACTGTGTCTTGAGTGTACGTAACTGTCTCGAATTCTCCGAATCCCCCTTTGCTTAATTGAGGTTATGTAAACACGGGAAAATTGCTCTATTGTTTAATAAATAGTACTTCCGCCATTTATTTTGCATGCGCAGTCCGACCAGTGCACCGGTCTTCAAGGCTTTCTTATCTTCCATTCGTTTGGCGGAGGAACAGGTTCTGGTTTTACGTCTCTGCTTATGGAGCGCCTATCTGTAGACTACGGCAAGAAATCCAAGCTGGAGTTTTCCATTTACCCCTCCCCTCTGATAGCCACAGCGGTAGTAGAGCCCTACAACTCGATTCTTACCACTCACACCACCCTGGAGCATTCTGATTGCGCGTTCATGGTAGATAACGAGGCAATTTATGACATCTGTCGCCGTAATCTTGATATTGAAAGGCCGACATACACCAATCTCAACCGACTGATTGGACAGATTGTGTCCTCCATTACTGCATCTCTGAGGTTTGATGGAGCACTCAATGTGGATCTCACGGAATTTCAGGTTAGTTCACCATAGAAAAACTCATTTCCGTTACGGAATCGAGCCCTTTGAAACCCGGCGGCCGAACAAAAAATAGGTCCGCATTGCGTACATGTGTTTGCATCATGATGCTTTGCGCACGGTCAAAGAATTGCGGGATATAATTCATGGTAGGCCACCCATATAGTCTCCCTGCAGTTTGCTTCTATTTACTGCCGTTTGCTTGCGGTTAGCATTTAAATATTGTGTTTACTTGCAGTTGGCATTTATTTACTACTGTTTGCTTGCGGTTAACATTTAATTACTGCTGTTTGCTTGCAGTTAGCATTTAAGGAGTAAAGGGGAAGGCGATTATATGTGGCCTACCATGAATTATCTGCCAGAATTGCCGCCGATTTCGATTAAAAGGCAAAGAACACAATAAAAAGATTAAGATATCGATTTTCAAATGACATTCAACGTGAAACGCACAAGTCAAGTCGTTTTTCAAGGTAAAATCAGGCTACGTTGCTTGCAAGGATTAGTGTAGGCTTGAAGTCGGTTTATAAGGTAGATCTCAATATTTATGTCACTTGGTTTTGTTCAACCTCTTTAAAGTTGGACGTGGTCAGATATATAAAGCTAATATTAAAGATTCCTTTTGGGTCGCCACTAATATTAAGCTTCTACACTTGACCACGTTTAAAAGTTGAAGATGCTAGACAAAACCAAGTGACATAAATAATAAAAACGCCAGAGAAATAAAGAACCAAATAAGCGACAAAAAGGGCATTTTACAATGACAGAAGCAATAAGCTAGACCATTTTCCGAGTAAAATGGCCTAGCTTACCAAGATTATCTCTGTAGCTCAGCGCAGCGCCCAAGCGGTATATGAGAGGTCATGGGTTGGAACACTGTCGGGTACTCAGATTTTTTCTTTTTCCTAGGCTCGTGGCAGGATTAATTTCATCTTTATCAATAAGCTTGCATGATTATCTGTAATCTCTTACTAACGTTATCAATCGGCATTTGGACATCAAGGTTTGGCTGTAGAATATTCTTTTTCCCGCCCTTACCCGCTTAAAAAAGTCGTCTTCTTACTGATCGCCTGACATTTCTTTTGTTATGTCGCACACCAATACCTCACTACACTTTCAACGAGAAACCCAGCTAAGGCAAATTCTTGAGAGCTAGAGTAATTAACTAACCGTACGTGTCACGCTAACAGACCAACTTGGTACCATATCCTCGCATCCACTTCCCTCTCGCCACGTATGCGCCAGTTATATCAGCCGAGAAAGCCTACCACGAGCAGCTAAATGTTGCCGAGATCACGAACGCCTGTTTTGAACCAGCCAATCAGATGGTAAAATGCGACCCACGTCATGGCAAGTACATGGCCTGCTGCTTATTGTTCCGCGGAGACGTGGTGCCGAAAGATGTGAACGCTTCTATAGGCACTATAAAAACTAAGAGGACGATACAGTTCGTGGACTGGTGCCCGACTGGATTCAAGGTATTTTGAAATATGACTCACTGTGAGTTGTTTAATGGATTTTTTTCAAGATTTAGGAAGGATTGAGTGATTATAATCTTATAAAAGAAAACAAATAAACAATATTTGAAGACATGGCTTTCTCAATCTTGCTACATAGCCACGCAATGTTTGTTACTGTCCCTTGAAAACGGGGTTTGAGGTTTGTTTCCATCCCTCTTTTCCTTTTAAATGTGGCTTGGTTGAATACTCTTTTTATCTTGAGTATTTGTTTCTCGTTTTTGAATTGTCCTAATCCAATTTACAAATAAAAAACAGTTGATCATTAACAAATTTGATAAATGCATCAAACACGAGAATAGTGTTTCATCACATTTGGAAAACACTGAGATAAGTTGAAAATACTACACGCAGCGGAGCATTTTAACAAACACCGTCCCGAGTGTTAAATGAAATCGCAGATATTATTTTTGCCCCGTCACGCAATGTCTCCAGTCAGACTGTTTACAATCTTTACTGTACGATTGCTTCCCGTCCAGGTTGGAATCAATTACCAGCCTCCTACGGTCGTCCCAGGTGGTGATCTGGCCAAGGTGCAACGTGCAGTTTGCATGTTAAGCAATACAACAGCTATCGCCGAGGCCTGGGCTCGACTGGATCATAAGTTTGACTTGATGTACGCCAAGCGCGCGTTCGTCCATTGGTATGTAGGCGAGGGAATGGAGGAAGGAGAGTTCTCTGAGGCACGCGAAGATCTAGCCGCATTGGAAAAGGATTACGAAGAAGTAGGGGTGGATTCTGCTGAAGGAGGAGAAGAAGCTGAAGAAGGCGAAGAGTACTGAAGCCGAACTTGCTCCCACAATGATTTAAACGTTATTTGAAGGAAATAAATTAATTAAACCAAGAGATTATGATCCTGAGAGAACACATCCCTAATCCATTTTGGGCTTTGCCTCACGCTGTCAAAGTGATTTTTAGCGTCGGTCCCATGATCGCGCAGCCAACACTCAACGGTCATCGGGTCGTGTCCATCCAAATCGGAAATTGAAAATCCAGGGAGTTAAGAGAAAAAAAATCAGTTTGTTTTGAACTACCGCACTGTAAGCATTGGGAATCATTTTCAAAGCGCTGGGTAGGAAAATTATACGTGCTTCTCCGAAGTTAAAAGAAAAGCTGTGTCATTCCCCTCTATGAATGATTAACACAACGCGCCAAGACTCATATTTCTAACCCACGTGAAAGTCATTTCTCGAAGAGAACTGAACGGATTAAATCAAAAAACATCTCTTTCGAAAGGTTTTTCAAAGCGCAGGACAGCTAAAATATTAGTTTCCCGTTTGTTAGAACTTTCGCTCCGAAAATCTTGGGGCAAATTTTTGCACCGTTTAGAACAAGAAAGATCTCTTTGGAAAGCATTTTCAAAGCGCTGGGCAGGAAAATTATCTCCTATGTGTTATCCTAAGTTTACTTCGAAAATAAGTCTTATCGTTTCTCTGCCNAGAACAAGAAAGATCTCTTTGGAAAGCATTTTCAAAGCGCTGGGCAGGAAAATTATCTCCTATGTGTTATCCTAAGTTTACTTCGAAAATAAGTCTTATCGTTTCTCTGCCTGATTGATTCACATGAGGCGCCATGGCTGCAGTCAGAAGAATTGCATTTCAAACCGCTCCAAAGTTGTTCCTCGTAAAGTACTAAACGGACTAAAGCGAAAAAGATCTCTTTGGAAAGCTCTTTCAAAGCGCCGGACAGTTAGAATTTTTCTTCCTCTTTCTTTACGAATTGCGCTTCGAAAATCCAGGCACAAGTTTTTGCTTATTTGATTGACTATAAAAATTAAACCTTCAATGTTATTACGACAGTTAAATTGACCAATTAAAGGTCTTTCCTAAAAGCTTCACAATTTGACCACGCACTAAAATTAGATTGGAAAAGATTATCATTGGAAGAGGCCTATGTATGGGGGATGTGTCTTAAGTTCTCTCAGATCATATTCTTCTTGATTAGACGTGTGGGCGTTGTTGCTTTTGCGGTGGCCTGTGCAGTATAGTTTAGTAATCGTATTGACACAACAGAACAAACTAGTAGAAAGCAGCATCTAATCTGGTCCCATATACATTTGATTGGAGTAAAAGAGAGGTTAAGAAGTTGGCTGTGACACGAAAAATTAAGCGTGATATTCTTAAAGTCAACCAGTGAAAGAGTGCATGTGTACTGTTATTTCTCTGTTTTTCATCAATCAATCACGCGCACTTCTATAGGTTTCAGTGCGTCATATTATGTTCCAGTAAGTCAATACGTTGATCGAATAGGTGTTCTGATTTTCGGTCGGTCGATTTTGAAAAAGTCTCCCCAGAAATTGAAATTAGAGATGGGAAAACTCAGAACTGGTTGGCTTAGGCGTATCAGGCGTGAAATTCCACCAACCTGTACTAAAAAGGTACGATTAGGTATTTACCGTACCCAAATTCGGCCGAAAAACTACTGCTTTGTCAAAGAGCTTACACTCGAGACCAACTCGGCTTCGATGGTTAAATTATTTTTACTACCGTCAAGTTGATCAAAAGTTAAGTGACTTGATATCGCAGGATATCAGGATAATAATCACTTTATTTAAGTGTCGATGTATTTAGCACTAATGTGCTAATTGGGGACACTGTAAATAAATAAACAAATATTTCAAATATAACATAAACTATTAAGAATCCCAACTCATGGTGGACATGGTTTCTGACTGGCTAACACGCCGAACACGTTGTCGCTTCGTACGCTAGGATTATTGTGTCCAGCATAAAAATATTGACCAGCAGTGGCAAAATTAGTCAGATATTTTTTCCAGATTAGAGCGTAAAGAATTCCGACTTGCATGCATACCGTCGATTTTTTTGTTTCGGGGGCTCAGGGATAAGGAAGAATAATCTGGGTCGATCGCTAAACGAAGTTAAGATGGCCTTAGTTATTTTGATTTCGTAAAGGGTTGTTTTCAGTGGCGCATTAGCACAAGCCGACATACGCAGGCGTAGTAGAGCGCTGCTAAATACCACCCTTTGTTACTAAAATTTCCGAGCAAAAGGGGCTAATTATCAATATCTTGTGCGCCTGGGTATGTCGGCTTATGCTCATGCTTATGCACTAGTGAAAGCCAGGCTTAACTAATTGCTTATTCACTAATAGAAAAGGATTTAAAATAAACTAAACTACATCTTAGCTACTTGATAACACGTATATCATTGCTTTATTTTCCATTATTATTATAACCACATTTCCAAAAACAAAATTACAATGCTATAAAATTTTCCGTTCTTGTTTGGTTATACATTATAACTTCGGACAAATACACGCCGTATTAAGCCAGCAAGTCCGTGTGACATGGGATTGTTTAAAAACGCTGAATTGAACACCAATATTTTCACCTGAAGCATTAAATGGAATTAAGGGCTTATTTTTGAACACTTCTCCAAGGAACTGATCATATCTCCTAATTTTAAAAAGAGTCGTCCCTGGGATGTCACGACTTAGAACTCTCGTTCTTAACTTCAGTCTATTCTAAGTGACTGTTAGGTACTTATTGGCAATAATTGGCTGGCAGCTTTGTCACTTTTACACGTTAATTTCTTGTTACTTAGATTTGTTTATTTACATCGTATATATTAAATAAAAATCATAAGCTTATTAATCAAGCAAACCATAGAGTTAAGCTGCTAATCCTCTTTCCAATAAATGACTAAATTTGCCGATTTACCCCCATTTTAAGATGAACATTAATTGACCGCATATCAACACCTCGGTAATTAACTTGCAAACACACTGTTCTCTTTATTACTTGCTCTCCAACCAACTGAACGACAAACCGAATACGTTAAAGAGAGATGAACCACAGCCTTTGACGAGACCCAAGAGGCATCCACATGTTTTGTAAGAAAGGAGTGTGTCAGATTCAATTTCATCACTGTAAACAAGTTTCTTTTGTGAGTGAGAAATGCCGTCTTGCAACACTCAGGCCTCATGTTGCTCTCTTGTATTTTGTTTAGCGGAGAAGACAAAGATTAGTTGACACGTTTTGTGCGTTTTAAGTTTCGTTGTTTGTTTAGTAAACAATGGCCGCTAAAATGTAAGAGTGGTAAAGAAAAGCTGCAAAACAAGACATAACAGGTGGAAAAAGTACACAAAACCGTGTATAAGCTTTCTTAAAAACAAACTTTAAAACAGAAACGAAACAGAAATAGTACTTCTCATCATTTTGTCCTATCGTAGTTATCATCAAACTGAAAATGTTTTAATTATTTCTGTATTCATTACTCATCATAGTAGTTTATTGACAGCCCGTCACTTGACGTGTTAAGAGTGCGACTGACTTTATGCCTTCGTATACAGATGATTTCCGGATATTTGCTCACGAAATCTCGACATTTGCAGACTATTTTTGGCACCACCCTAAATAAAGCCATGCATTTCTAGATTTTCGCAGCAGCTGGCTCTACCCTCTGGGAAAATAGAAAACTTAGTGCAAAGACCAGGAGGCTAAACTGAGAACATACTGTTCCCACGTTGCTTCAAGTTATTTGAGCGGGAATTGATCGTGCTTTTCAATTAGTAAATTAATAATAAATTAACAGTGTTGACTCAATTCTTTGTCCCTATTCTTTAAACTTGTTTTACTGGCTAACGAAAACGACTATGATATCAATTTTTGACTGAAAATTTTAACCAGTGTGGAATTCAGGAGTCAAGCAACCGGTATTCCGGTCCATCAGGAATTGTATATTGTTGATGAAATAAAAATGCAATCTAATTTCCTGTATTTTTTTTTTCTAACAATGAATATGTCTCTCTTGTCGAGGTAACTGGGTTTTATTATTTTTAATCAGATTATATCATGCTAGTTACTTAACAATGTTTTGACGTGTTTTTTGCTGTGCTTTAAACAAACACCTACTAATTGAAATGGTTTTTGACGCTTAAGACATGAAACGTTCCCGCCGACATTAGTTAAGCGACTTTCGTTCCAATCTTCAGCTCTCAATATCCATTTTGTTTGTTTAAACTAGATATCAGATCAAGTCCTTTACGCGAGATTGTTTTGCCTGTGCTTTGTAGCAATGCAAAGAATCTTTTCAAAACTTAAAAAGACGCAATACTATCAACTCTGCCTTCAGTTTTGTTTGTCATTTTATTTCGAAAAAGATGTATTTTTCCCGGTTCAACCCTACTTTTAATTCCTATAGATGTTTCTCAAGTTAACATCTATCAGTCATGATCCGTGCTTTTAAGAGCTTATCTTTAGTTTGTGTCACACAAATATACTGAATGTTTAATGCTAAGCAGGAGTAGTACTTGTCAATAAAGTGATCTTCTCGTGGAATTCTGATGAGGCAAGCCAGAAACCACGAGCGGAGGCAGAAAGGAAAAGCCGGGCGTCGAATTATGCACGAGTTTCCGATGTTTTGATAGGCCAAAGGTTGCTTGATGAATAAGTGCAGCACTGAGTTACTGTAAGCCATGCTACTGTTTCAAGTAATCTTTCTATTTGTTGTCGCTGAATTAAGCTGTCTTCGACATCCAGTTGTTAATGGAGAGGGGAATTTGGCTGAGATTTCGTCGCAAAAGACTGACCTTCAAACACACAGAACCAAGCGGTGGTTGTGGCCTGGTGAGTGTAGTTCAACTAAACTTCCTTGTTAGTAAGCTCATGCTCTTCTCTACTATTCTGCAACGTAACGGTAGCGACCTTGCGTGTCTTGAAATTCTTAAGATTTTAGTTTTTTTTTTCAGTTGGATAAATTGAAGCAGTCATCATCTGTTCAAGTAAAATTTTGAATCATCAACTGAACAGTGTAAAAACTTGAGGTTGGGTTGAGTTCCATGTCTTTTTATATCAACAACTGAGAAAATGTTAAGGTATGATCTGCTTACACTTTCCAGAAAGAAACCTTCCCTGCAATCGTCGAGTACGACTGTTCTGCACAGAATTGTCGTTACCCCCTGAACTGACTAAGAAGAAGATCTTTTTTTACCTGTGTGTCGACGCCTAAAGTTATTGATGCTCGAAATTAACAGTGTTCTCAGTATCGTAAAATATTTAGGAAGATAACGAGTATCTCCTTTATCCTACATCCTCTCGCTCAGCATTGGTGCTGATACGATATGGCTCCAAAAATGATTGCGTGCAAAATATGTTGGACAAGGTTACAGCCATTTATGCTGAAGAGAATCTGGCAAACCATTATTTCTGGTCGTGCAGATCATTTGATTCTCTGGCTGAGGACGGAGTATGAGATTTAGGATACATATCTTAATACAAATATTTATTAGGGAATTTTATTCCTGCTGCAAATTCGTATAGAAATTCTCGAGTTGGCCCTAGATAAAATCCTATTTTTAAATGACGTGGATTGTTACGGTGTCCCCAATTCGACATGGAATTAAAACACAAATGAAAACAATTTCCAAATTACATGTAGATCGTCAACATTTTTATTGGTTTAAGCGGATTTTGTTTTATTTGTATAAAGAAATCAGCTTTGAAAGATCGATTTAACGTGGTTATGTCACTCGACTGGAAGTGGTATCGAACCCACAACTGACCAATTCTCTAACGCCGTTTCCATGAATTCCCCAAATCAATTCAGTAATTAATCCACAAAACGAGACGTGTGGTTTCTGCTCGCACTAGTATTATTAATCCACTTTATTGAACACACCTCAGGAAAACGATTTAAGGTCAAACCAAGTATCATTATCCAATATAATATTTTTTCTTTGAGTTATCGTTTGAACAAAGGACATATCAATTTTCCACTTATGCGGTTCTGAATTTCGCATGAGTAAATGAATGTTTTCTTTTTCTCTTCAAATCGTTAGCTATTGAGTGTGTATTTCGCAGTGCTAGCTGTTTGCGTGTTAACATTTTGCAAAGTGATATTCGAGAATTTTTTTTTCTATTTTAAACTTGGCATCGAGAGTGAAAAGGTTACGCTATACTGTTTCTCGATCATGCAATTATTGTCTACTTGTGGAAGACGATTAGAAGCATATTCAGACGAGTACAAGCGCTAGTATGTGCTCAATAATTACGCTTCTTCCGGCTCTAGTCCGCAAAGCTACTTAAACTCATTTTGAAATATTTGGCTTGAATTTTTCATGCTAGTGGTTTGTAATCCGTCCCTATCTTCTGCAACCTTGGTGTCATCCTTGTTTTGCTTTCTTATTATCTCTGTGGTGGTTTTTCTACCGTGGTTAACATCTATTTTCGAAGGTTATTTTGCACGTGCAAAGCATGCCTTAATAATACCAAAGACATTGCCGTTAAGTGTGATCTTATCGCCATGCATGCTTCCATACGCGACAAATAGGAGTAAAAGTATCTTTTTATAGACAAATGGAAAAAAAAAATTGAGTTAAGTAAGAGTATAACCCGAGAGCGCCGCCGTCAACGAGAGGAAACCGCTCCCTAACATACTTACCGTTAATTTCAAAAATAAATAAAGCGACAGCACACGAGCTTGTAGCGCGAGCAGTAACAAACCTTAAGATTGCAACGCTCATGAAGGTGGACAGAAGCCTCCTTCTGCTCCCTCTCAAAGCTTCTTAAGAATGAGTGACTTTATCGCTGTAAATTCTGCTTAAAATGTGATAAATCGGTCTAAATGCTTTCCATAAAGAAGAATCAAGGACATGTTTCCCCAAGTACCAAGATTTTCAAAATGAATTTTAAGTCAAAAGCTTCTCAAATCATTTACGCGTCAACTTGAGTTATCGGCACAAAATATGAAGATTACGTGCACGCCTCGCCACGAGGAGGCAAGCGAAGTTTCTTTATCGGCATCTTAAGCCTGGGAAACAAACCCAAATAACAATATTGACATTAATTCTAAGTAGTTCAGGAATGCCATTTTAGGTCAAATGAAACCGCGAGGAAAAGATGATGTTATTTTTGTCAATAGAAGTTTGTTTAATTTACTGGTTATAGACGACTTTGTCACTGTTGGCAGGACAACACGTTCATCAATTTCGAGACATCTCTTTTGGCTTCGATACTTGTACTATGCCGAGAAAGAGATACAGTTGATAAAACCACGATTCTCCTGAAATTACACACTCCAAGCACTTGCTCCCCTTGTGGTTAGTTGTGTACGTAACACTTGGTTTTTCCACACAGTGTTTTTTCGGGAGCAACTATGTGCCAAAACGACGGTCTGATAGCCCTCATGGGGTCAATTGTATTAATTGGTGTGCTAAGTAACTGGCAGCCATCGGTATCTGGGGAAAAGCTTTGTTTTGTGGACTCAAAAAGCGTGAGAAAACGAACTTTTAGATTTAATTATTGTTACATGCAGGTGTTATACGTTGTTACAAGAGTACGTACATTATATAGACTAGTGACTCGGAGTGCTCAGTAGGTTTTCCTTTAAGTTGCTAAATCTAGTGAAAAGTCAGTCTTTCTAATCGAAAACCCTCCCTTCAGTTGAAGACGAAATTGGAAAAACGACGCGCTAGTATGGGGACTCGTTTAGTGTGTGGGCGATACAAGCTCGATTGCCCTCACACACTCAATTCATCGAAGCGAAATACACGACTGTTGTGACCAGGTTATTTAGAAAAAAAAATGCTCTTTTAGTGTATAGCGAACCTTTTGTTTCACACGCTTTGTAGTACATCTGAACACTAGCTTTTTCTTATCTCGCCTTTTTAAGTTTGAAAAAAACTTTCTATAGGCATTCTTTGCAAAAGAATGCTCCTTTATTTTTAAACAATGTCTGTTTTACAAATTACCCTGAGCAAGACAGGATTTCCATTATCCTCGCTGAAGAAGAATTAACGTCGAAGTATGTGCACGCGCAGACTGAGATAAAAATGTGAAGGAAGTATTTATTTACAAACACAGTCTGTGTTCATGCTGTTCATGGCGAGATTTTAATATGCGGTTTACATTTTTGCTGGCATAAAGCACTGAGCAGTGGTTAAAAACATTACGAAAATTTGCTATCCTAGAAAAGACGCATTTCTGGAGGGCAGAAGGTCGTTTTTATAGAATTTACAGTAAATATATTTCTCAGACATAATTATAAAGCGTTCGATGTGGTCACGTACAGAATGTGACGATATATGACCGGATGTTTTTAGTCTATCGTTCATGTCAAGGTGGAGCACGTTCTTATGGTGAAATTTCTTTAGGTTTATTTTCTGAACTTACCTCTTAGAAGAAGAAAGACAAGTATATAAGGAGACTTGCCATAATATATTTTATGTTATCTCATCGTGGTTGAATCCTGTAAACGTTTCACATTTCGCAATAAAAACGAGCTCTTGATTGCTGACGGAGGTATTTAGCAAGGGTGGTTTTTTAAGTACGTCGTTATTTGTTCACCTTTGTATCATATCTTCTTGGCTCGAATTTAGGGTGTGGCTTTATCCCAGGATGTGAGAAATGCAACGATGGACTCATTTGCAAGAAATGCAGGACTGTCTTCATCCCTGTAGAATACGAAAGGAGCAAAAACACCATCATACGATGCATTCGCTCTTGTCCCATGGGCTACAATATCACGTCTAGAAAGGGATATTCCAAGATATGTGTGAGAACAGAGCTTGGTAGGTTCTTATGACAAATGATATTACGTCTAGAAAGGTATAACCAGGAAACCTGGAATTTGTGAGAGGACACAACGCGAGATGTTCGCCTATGGGTTACGAAATCTCATCTAGAAAGACTCATCCAAGGAATCCAGGAATTTATGAATGGAGAGGACAGGATTCAAAATTATTACTGATCTCAGATTTGTCGAGGTTGCCAATCTCAATACTCTCTCTCCATTTGTAACATTCAGGTTAAAAGTGTACGGCTTTCTCGATCTCGCTAATGACACAAAAATTACAGTTTAGGAAATGAGAGCTTTTAGATATTTTAATCTCATTTAATATGGTTTGTCATCTATTTACAGACCATCCCATGAATTTAATTTATTTCGAATGAAAACCACAATGTTGTTTGTTTACTAAGGTTGTGCTGCAAAACACTGCGACGATTGTCTCCCCCACAACCCGGTCAGCTGTGCGAACTGCTCATCGGGATATTATGCACTCCAGAAAAGGATTATGGGAGATGTGAAATGTGTGAGACAGTGCCCGACTGGCTTCACGTCGACCGTAAAGAAGGATGGGAAAAAGATTTGCAAAGACACACAGTCAAGTAATTAACCAACTTATGTGTGATTTTTCCATCAACTCGTAATCAGCATGTTATTTTCTCGGCATTTTAAGTTCTGACGAGGTAGCTGTGGGAGGGGAGGTGACTGAGAGGAGAGGGTACGTTCCCGCGATACAACTGTACGTAATTTGCAATGGCGGTACTTCCTTATCACGTACACACTCAACCCCTGGAACTAAACTGCTCTTTTTCCTAAGTCCTTCTCGATGTTGATTACACTTGATTCCCTATTCTCAAAGTAATTTTAGCTTAAACAAAGGAAATGAAACAATTCGTCCGCTTTCTCTGTACTTGAAGTTTCGATTGAGAAGATTTATGAAACTTTCAAGACAGTGTTTGACCACATTTCCAACTGAACACCTGGAAGTTCTAAAACTCCACTAGGCGTCGTATTTTCAACTCTCTTGGAAATGTGGTCAAACACGGTCTTTCGTGTTTGATATATTACTTTCACATCTGTGGCTGATTTTAAAAGTAAAGTTGATTTTCTCTTCATCGTCAATTTGCTCCTAATTTCTTTCCTATTCGAATTTATAATGTAGACCATCCACATTTCTCATCGATCTAATGGCCATAAAAACAGTGAAATATTTAGTCTTGTCGAATTACTGTTGATCTCATTAAATTCTGAATTCAGTCCAGGTTCCACTTTAAAAACATAAAACTGAAAAACTGATTAACACAACAGACTGNTTAGTCTTGTCGAATTACTGTTGATCTCATTAAATTCTGAATTCAGTCCAGGTTCCACTTTAAAAACATAAAACTGAAAAACTGATTAACACAACAGACTGTTAGCAATAATTATTTATTTTATATTTTTACAGAATGCCAGTCCAATGTACCCAACTGCGCCAAGTGCCTTGACAGTTTTCGATGTCGGAAATGCAGGAATGACTTGCATGCCTTTTTTAACAAATCTGGCATGGTTTGCGTACGAAACTGCCCGAGAGGCCTTGTCGCCGCAAACTCTAGCTACTTTGGAAAATACTGCAAGAAAACACTAGTGGGTAAGACTGAATTGGAGAGTTCACTTGTCATCACTGACATAGAAGACATGAGAGAAAATCACACTTTGGGCTTACAAGCTATGGGTTGTTGTACCAACAATCAATTCCCGTTCAAGCCTGAACTTTTTTCACGCTTTAATTTCACAGCAGTTTAAATTGGTGTACATAACTGCAATGATGATCCATGTCTTAACGTCTTTCACGGCAGTTCAAATATATGATCTTTCATATATTTTCTTTGCTTCTTTGAAGAGACATTAACTCACGAAAGTACAAGCCATCCCGTTCCCTAAGTTTACGATGTAATACGACATATCAAAATGCATTTAATAAATAGCCCTTGGCCTGCTTTGCAAAATAACACACTTTTTTGTGGTCATGACGTCACATGGCGTCATTTAGTCCGCCATCTTGGATTTCACTATTTTCTCAGAGAGCAGTAAAATAACGTGAATTGATATGAAATTAACCAGTGATAGAAGATTGCAAAAAGGACTAATTCTACAATGTAACTCAAGAAAAGTAGAAAAAGGAAGAATTCTGTTTATAAGACTAAATTTGGCTTTGCCTTAGTGCAAAATGTGGCTGGTATGGCAATTTCAAATAACGAGGGGGGTCAGTTGACACATTAAAATCTCAGTGAGGAATGAATAAAAAGCAATGAAAGTTTCAGCAATACAGAGTAAACTCATCTTCTATTATCTCATCTTCTAGAAAACTTTATCAGGTGGCATCCACTCCAACTGAGATGATAGTCCATGATTAGATATCTTTGTATAGTACAAGTGCATGCATCTTCCATTTTAAAGTTAAAATTATGTCAAAATAGAAAACTGAACAAACTTTAACAATGAGCTTCACAATACTTTTCTATCCATGTCAGTCACATTAAATTTCTTGTTTTTTTTTTTTTCTTTTTTTTTCTGGGTGGAAAGAATGCCAATCCGTTTTAAACTGTGAGAGATGTCCTGACAAAATCAACTGTCGTAGATGTAAGCCGAGATATTTCAGGATCAAATTATCGGCTTTCTCCAACTCGACGTGTGTTTCCACGTGTCCTGCTGGGTTCGCAAGAAAAGGAAGGAGATGCCAACGGATTACAGAAGGTAAACGAATATGGAAATGTCGGTAGATGAAATCCCTAATTATAAACTAGAAAGAATCTAGAAACTGTGCTTCAGCTGTTAGTACATCTACAGAAAGGTATGAAATCGATTGTTAACTGATGGTAATAGTAATTCGTAGAGTCTAACTCGGTCTGTATGGTGTTTCAAATGATGGACAAAATTAGTCAAAATTATAGCAAAATTCGAGGATAAAATTTGGACTAAGCAAAGTCGGTTAAAAATTATTGTTGCTATCATTGAAAAGATTGTGGGGAGAAAGCCATTTCCGAAAAGGGTTTCGTTATGTAGAACCAGTATTTAGTCGCAACGAAAAGGAAACAAATGAAGAGAGGGTTCACATGAACACTACTTTGTTACTGGACACCTTAGCTGCTCGTGCTCCAATCAGTTTACAGAATTTTGTCATAATATACCACGTGGTTCACAATATCTAGGCTTTCTTAGCTAGGAAAGGGTATTGAGCAACTTGCTATTCTGTCAACTTCCTTTAGACGGCTGTGGTGACGAATATTGTTTGACCTGCAAGGAAGGCTGGTATCGAGTCAATTATAATAAAAGGCACTGTCAACGCAAGTGTCCCAGAGGTTTCTTTACTCTTGGCGACAAACAAAAATTCTGTCTCAGTAAGTACAACTTTTAATTAAGTACATGAGCCTAGTTATAAGCGAACAGGCATCAGATATCCTAGAGTAGCGTCAGTCTTAAAAGTCTCCTCTACGTAACATGTTTTCTTTCAAGGAATCCGTTATTTGTTGGAGGTATCTTCTCCATTTTGGGATTTCATTAATATAGCTTGTGAACACCGATAAAAATAATTGATTGTTTACAGGTTTTGACATTGACTTAAGACGTGAGTGATGCTTGTGAGCGGAAGTTGCCATTTGCCTCTGTTCCAAAACGAGTCTGTCAAAACCACTCTTTGTCAAAACGAGTCTTTGTGATAAAGTATTAAGTTGAAAATGTGATTCACTTGCACGTTTAGTTTCATTTTCATAACGGACCTTTTGCACACAGAGTCGCTTTGAAGCAAAGGCAAAAGGCAAGCCCATTTTCGCCGCCTGACGCAATAAAGGGCTAGTAGAAACTAGTCAAACTATTGTTGTTCCTTATATCTTCCCATCTTAATAGACCAGAGTATACCTTTCTCTTTCAATTTGACTCTTCTGTTCTGGTAATGAATGTTAGCAACTCCTATTCTGCAGGATGCATAGCCCACTGTGAGGAATGTGTTAATGGTTTTGACTGCACCAAGTGTGAGCCAGGAACATCGAAAATTGTCCAGGGACTACATACGACTTGCGTGAAAAGCTGTCCGTTTGGTTACACGAACCATGGAAACGTGAAAACAGGAAATGTCTGTTTACTTAAGAGGTAAGTGAAATGACGCAACCCTAAGGCGTACATGGATGGGTGCTGAGGTCGGAAGGTTTCGTAAAAGCTGTACCTATTAGAAAAATTGAGAATGTTAGAATTGATCCCATCAGATAGCAGGCAACATTGCCAGTTTGGAGTCAGTTTGGAGTCAGATTGGGTCTATGATGTTCTGATCGTTGAAGGCAGAGGTCAAGAGCTTTCTTGCTAGAAATATCTGGTGTAAATACTGCTTGGTAATGGTTCATAACAAAGCCAGTATTGCTGAGTAAAAATCTGATTTGACCTCNTTGGCAGGACAACACGTTCATCAATTTCGAGACATCTCTTTTGGCTTCGATACTTGTACTATGCCGAGAAAGAGATACAGTTGATAAAACCACGATTCTCCTGAAATTACACACTCCAAGCACTTGCTCCCCTTGTGGTTAGTTGTGTACGTAACACTTGGTTTTTCCACACAGTGTTTTTTCGGGAGCAACTATGTGCCAAAACGACGGTCTGATAGCCCTCATGGGGTCAATTGTATTAATTGGTGTGCTAAGTAACTGGCAGCCATCGGTATCTGGGGAAAAGCTTTGTTTTGTGGACTCAAAAAGCGTGAGAAAACGAACTTTTAGATTTAATTATTGTTACATGCAGGTGTTATACGTTGTTACAAGAGTACGTACATTATATAGACTAGTGACTCGGAGTGCTCAGTAGGTTTTCCTTTAAGTTGCTAAATCTAGTGAAAAGTCAGTCTTTCTAATCGAAAACCCTCCCTTCAGTTGAAGACGAAATTGGAAAAACGACGCGCTAGTATGGGGACTCGTTTAGTGTGTGGGCGATACAAGCTCGATTGCCCTCACACACTCAATTCATCGAAGCGAAATACACGACTGTTGTGACCAGGTTATTTAGAAAAAAAAATGCTCTTTTAGTGTATAGCGAACCTTTTGTTTCACACGCTTTGTAGTACATCTGAACACTAGCTTTTTCTTATCTCGCCTTTTTAAGTTTGAAAAAAACTTTCTATAGGCATTCTTTGCAAAAGAATGCTCCTTTATTTTTAAACAATGTCTGTTTTACAAATTACCCTGAGCAAGACAGGATTTCCATTATCCTCGCTGGAGAAGAATTAACGTCGAAGTATGTGCACGCGCAGACTGAGATAAAAATGTGAAGGAAGTATTTATTTACAAACACAGTTTGTGTTCATGCTGTTCATGGCGAGATTTTAATATGCGGTTTACATTTTTGCTGGCATAAAGCACTGAGCAGTGGTTAAAAACATTACGAAAATTTGCTATCCTAGAAAAGACGCATTTCTGGAGGGCAGAAGGTCGTTTTTATAGAATTTACAGTAAATATATTTCTCAGACATAATTATAAAGCGTTCGATGTGGTCACGTACAGAATGTGACGATATATGACCGGATGTTTTTAGTCTATCGTTCATGTCAAGGTGGAGCACGTTCTTATGGTGAAATTTCTTTAGGTTTATTTTCTGAACTTACCTCTTAGAAGAAGAAAGACAAGTATATAAGGAGACTTGCCATAATATATTTTATGTTATCTCATCGTGGTTGAATCCTGTAAACGTTTCACATTTCGCAATAAAAACGAGCTCTTGATTGCTGACGGAGGTATTTAGCAAGGGTGGTTTTTTAAGTACGTCGTTATTTGTTCACCTTTGTATCATATCTTCTTGGCTCGAATTTAGGGTGTGGCTTTATCCCAGGATGTGAGAAATGCAACGATGGACTCATTTGCAAGAAATGCAGGACTGTCTTCATCCCTGTAGAATACGAAAGGAGCAAAAACACCATCATACGATGCATTCGCTCTTGTCCCATGGGCTACAATATCACGTCTAGAAAGGGATATTCCAAGATATGTGTGAGAACAGAGCTTGGTAGGTTCTTATGACAAATGATATTACGTCTAGAAAGGTATAACCAGGAAACCTGGAATTTGTGAGAGGACACAACGCGAGATGTTCGCCTATGGGTTACGAAATCTCATCTAGAAAGACTCATCCAAGGAATCCAGGAATTTATGAATGGAGAGGACAGGATTCAAAATTATTACTGATCTCAGATTTGTCGAGGTTGCCAATCTCAATACTCTCTCTCCATTTGTAACATTCAGGTTAAAAGTGTACGGCTTTCTCGATCTCGCTAATGACACAAAAATTACAGTTTAGGAAATGAGAGCTTTTAGATATTTTAATCTCATTTAATATGGTTTGTCATCTATTTACAGACCATCCCATGAATTTAATTTATTTCGAATGAAAACCACAATGTTGTTTGTTTACTAAGGTTGTGCTGCAAAACACTGCGACGATTGTCTCCCCCACAACCCGGTCAGCTGTGCGAACTGCTCATCGGGATATTATGCACTCCAGAAAAGGATTATGGGAGATGTGAAATGTGTGAGACAGTGCCCGACTGGCTTCACGTCGACCGTAAAGAAGGATGGGAAAAAGATTTGCAAAGACACACAGTCAAGTAATTAACCAACTTATGTGTGATTTTTCCATCAACTCGTAATCAGCATGTTATTTTCTCGGCATTTTAAGTTCTGACGAGGTAGCTGTGGGAGGGGAGGTGACTGAGAGGAGAGGGTACGTTCCCGCGATACAACTGTACGTAATTTGCAATGGCGGTACTTCCTTATCACGTACACACTCAACCCCTGGAACTAAACTGCTCTTTTTCCTAAGTCCTTCTCGATGTTGATTACACTTGATTCCCTATTCTCAAAGTAATTTTAGCTTAAACAAAGGAAATGAAACAATTCGTCCGCTTTCTCTGTACTTGAAGTTTCGATTGAGAAGATTTATGAAACTTTCAAGACAGTGTTTGACCACATTTCCAACTGAACACCTGGAAGTTCTAAAACTCCACTAGGCGTCGTATTTTCAACTCTCTTGGAAATGTGGTCAAACACGGTCTTTCGTGTTTGATATATTACTTTCACATCTGTGGCTGATTTTAAAAGTAAAGTTGATTTTCTCTTCATCGTCAATTTGCTCCGAATTTCTTTCCTATTCGAATTTATAATGTAGACCATCCACATTTCTCATCGATCTAATGGCCATAAAAACAGTGAAATATTTAGTCTTGTCGAATTACTGTTGATCTCATTAAATTCTGAATTCAGTCCAGGTTCCACTTTAAAAACATAAAACTGAAAAACTGATTAACACAACAGACTGTTAGCAATAATTATTTATTTTATATTTTTACAGAATGCCAGTCCAATGTACCCAACTGCGCCAAGTGCCTTGACAGTTTTCGATGTCGGAAATGCAGGAATGACTTGCATGCCTTTTTTAACAAATCTGGCATGGTTTGCGTACGAAACTGCCCGAGAGGCCTTGTCGCCGCAAACTCTAGCTACTTTGGAAAATACTGCAAGAAAACACTAGTGGGTAAGACTGAATTGGAGAGTTCACTTGTCATCACTGACATAGAAGACATGAGAGAAAATCACACTTTGGGCTTACAAGCTATGGGTTGTTGTACCAACAATCAATTCCCGTTCAAGCCTGAACTTTTTTCACGCTTTAATTTCACAGCAGTTTAAATTGGTGTACATAACTGCAATGATGATCCATGTCTTAACGTCTTTCACGGCAGTTCAAATATATGATCTTTCATATATTTTCTTTGCTTCTTTGAAGAGACATTAACTCACGAAAGTACAAGCCATCCCGTTCCCTAAGTTTACGATGTAATACGACATATCAAAATGCATTTAATAAATAGCCCTTGGCCTGCTTTGCAAAATAACACACTTTTTTGTGGTCATGACGTCACATGGCGTCATTTAGTCCGCCATCTTGGATTTCACTATTTTCTCAGAGAGCAGTAAAATAACGTGAATTGATATGAAATTAACCAGTGATAGAAGATTGCAAAAAGGACTAATTCTACAATGTAACTCAAGAAAAGTAGAAAAAGGAAGAATTCTGTTTATAAGACTAAATTTGGCTTTGCCTTAGTGCAAAATGTGGCTGGTATGGCAATTTCAAATAACGAGGGGGGTCAGTTGACACATTAAAATCTCAGTGAGGAATGAATAAAAAGCAATGAAAGTTTCAGCAATACAGAGTAAACTCATCTTCTATTATCTCATCTTCTAGAAAACTTTATCAGGTGGCATCCACTCCAACTGAGATGATAGTCCATGATTAGATATCTTTGTATAGTACAAGTGCATGCATCTTCCATTTTAAAGTTAAAATTATGTCAAAATAGAAAACTGAACAAACTTTAACAATGAGCTTCACAATACTTTTCTATCCATGTCAGTCACATTAAATTTCTTGTTTTTTTTTTTTTCTTTTTTTTTCTGGGTGGAAAGAATGCCAATCCGTTTTAAACTGTGAGAGATGTCCTGACAAAATCAACTGTCGTAGATGTAAGCCGAGATATTTCAGGATCAAATTATCGGCTTTCTCCAACTCGACGTGTGTTTCCACGTGTCCTGCTGGGTTCGCAAGAAAAGGAAGGAGATGCCAACGGATTACAGAAGGTAAACGAATATGGAAATGTCGGTAGATGAAATCCCTAATTATAAACTAGAAAGAATCTAGAAACTGTGCTTCAGCTGTTAGTACATCTACAGAAAGGTATGAAATCGATTGTTAACTGATGGTAATAGTAATTCGTAGAGTCTAACTCGGTCTGTATGGTGTTTCAAATGATGGACAAAATTAGTCAAAATTATAGCAAAATTCGAGGATAAAATTTGGACTAAGCAAAGTCGGTTAAAAATTATTGTTGCTATCATTGAAAAGATTGTGGGGAGAAAGCCATTTCCGAAAAGGGTTTCGTTATGTAGAACCAGTATTTAGTCGCAACGAAAAGGAAACAAATGAAGAGAGGGTTCACATGAACACTACTTTGTTACTGGACACCTTAGCTGCTCGTGCTCCAATCAGTTTACAGAATTTTGTCATAATATACCACGTGGTTCACAATATCTAGGCTTTCTTAGCTAGGAAAGGGCATTGAGCAACTTGCTATTCTGTCAACTTCCTTTAGACGGCTGTGGTGACGAATATTGTTTGACCTGCAAGGAAGGCTGGTATCGAGTCAATTATAATAAAAGGCACTGTCAACGCAAGTGTCCCAGAGGTTTCTTTACTCTTGGCGACAAACAAAAATTCTGTCTCAGTAAGTACAACTTTTAATTAAGTACATGAGCCTAGTTATAAGCGAACAGGCATCAGATATCCTAGAGTAGCGTCAGTCTTAAAAGTCTCCTCTACGTAACATGTTTTCTTTCAAGGAATCCGTTATTTGTTGGAGGTATCTTCTCCATTTTGGGATTTCATTAATATAGCTTGTGAACACCGATAAAAATAATTGATTGTTTACAGGTTTTGACATTGACTTAAGACGTGAGTGATGCTTGTGAGCGGAAGTTGCCATTTGCCTCTGTTCCAAAACGAGTCTGTCAAAACCACTCTTTGTCAAAACGAGTCTTTGTGATAAAGTATTAAGTTGAAAATGTGATTCACTTGCACGTTTAGTTTCATTTTCATAACGGACCTTTTGCACACAGAGTCGCTTTGAAGCAAAGGCAAAAGGCAAGCCCATTTTCGCCGCCTGACGCAATAAAGGGCTAGTAGAAACTAGTCAAACTATTGTTGTTCCTTATATCTTCCCATCTTAATAGACCAGAGTATACCTTTCTCTTTCAATTTGACTCTTCTGTTCTGGTAATGAATGTTAGCAACTCCTATTCTGCAGGATGCATAGCCCACTGTGAGGAATGTGTTAATGGTTTTGACTGCACCAAGTGTGAGCCAGGAACATCGAAAATTGTCCAGGGACTACATACGACTTGCGTGAAAAGCTGTCCGTTTGGTTACACGAACCATGGAAACGTGAAAACAGGAAATGTCTGTTTACTTAAGAGGTAAGTGAAATGACGCAACCCTAAGGCGTACATGGATGGGTGCTGAGGTCGGAAGGTTTCGTAAAAGCTGTACCTATTAGAAAAATTGAGAATGTTAGAATTGATCCCATCAGATAGCAGGCAACATTGCCAGTTTGGAGTCAGTTTGGAGTCAGATTGGGTCTATGATGTTCTGATCGTTGAAGGCAGAGGTCAAGAGCTTTCTTGCTAGAAATATCTGGTGTAAATACTGCTTGGTAATGGTTCATAACAAAGCCAGTATTGCTGAGTAAAAATCTGATTTGACCTCACGTCGTTGCGATGGTTGGATTACAGGGTACAGACCGTATCAGATAATGTTCGTTCATTTCTTAGCTATCAGTTAACACTTCAGCCAATTTCATATTTTTCAAAAACTATTGTTGTGTGTTGCAAGGTCTTCCAACGTTAATGTTATGATAGTCTGTAATTTAAATTTTTGTTGAGAGAATTATTATCTGGAAAGGTTTTACTACTCGTGAAGTAACTGGGAATTTTTACCATATTTTGAATCGAAATTGCACATGATAGAGCTCTGTTTTTTCCCTTTCTCTTTACAGGGTCACGTGACCTAGATGACGATGTTTTGTTTCAAAACATAAAAAGATGAACATGCATTCATGGGAAGTTCAACGACTGTGAATAATGCAGAATTTGTTTAGAATACTCATGTTATCCGTAAAAACGTTTAATTAAGATCTTGGAGTATATCCACAGTCAACGTTAAATTTACTTCTATGTCGACTGGCTTTCAAGGAACTTTTCAAGGAGCAGTCGAGCCGCCGATTTAGAGCCAAACCGCAAAGGATAAGTTGCTTTTACGACAGGTCACTATATAGTACAGAAAAGATGTTGAGGCCACAAACAAATGAATGAGACAACAGCTGGGGAGTGAGAATGGCCAAAACTGATCGGATAGAACCACACAGTTGTGTCATAAACTCGGTTCCTGAATGGATGGAACATTGATGATTGAGACTACAACTGAGTACGTCACGCACTGCAGTACTTCTCATGATACCATGCGGAAAATGCTTTGTCGCATCAAATCTGCGTGTGCTGTTTGCTATATAGACGCTAGGAATGAATTTTCACGCTAGAATCGGATGGTATTGGTTATACCATGGCGATAGAGCGCAGACGTCGTTCGATTAACATAAAGGGCTAGCTTAATCTTTAGATCAGTCGGGCTTTTCGTGTTTCTTGGAATCCTCAGTAATTGTATACAGAATAATAATTTTAGAAGGTCACTAGAAGCTCTCCCTTAATAACTGATGCATGTAGTCAAGTAAAATTGAAGGAGAATGGGCTAAAAAAATTGCCCACTTCATGCCTGGTAAATTTGAAAACGCAACATGTGTTTGAGGAAGATCAGGGTAGCAAAGTTACATAATCATTGTGAGCTTCTGCGTCGTTTTCGAAAAGCTCCGTTTTCAAAATGTTTTCCGTCCACACTAAAACGCAAGGCCGGCGTTTTCAAATTCCTCCGGTTTCGAAAAGCTCCATGTCCAGTAGTATTTATGTAGTCGGTAGGCTTAACCGCAGAAATTAAGCTGCGTTTTAATATTTCTACGGTGTATCGTGGCCGGGTCCTTAGTCATTTAGAATTTATTCCTCTTTGTAAACAAGTGAAAGTAAATTATCTTTGGAGGAGTTCGTCTGACGTAAAACGAATTCAAATTTTGAATAACGTTTTCCACTTTCTAAATACTCCTTCGAGAAGATGAATAGTCGAAAAGGGAGAGCCGGTGACTATGTTCTGTTAGAATCTGTTAACTTCACTCAACATTTAGTGGGTTCCTATTGAGAATTTTTATATACTTTTCTATCGTATCGGTAGTTACGTAAAAACTGATGAAAGGGGAAGATACTAGACAGTAATTACGGGCAGGGGCTCTGAGGATGGGAAACACGATTCTTTGATCCTTTAAATAGGTCGCGTTTTCTCCCTTGTTTCCCATTAATTTGATCCCAAACATTTCCTCCCCAAAAAAGTTCCCTTTAATAGTAGAGATATTCCTTGTTAACTACGGTTAGACCAAAAAATATCCCTTGCTCCTTAAAAATAAATGCATAATGTTCCCTTATTCCTCCAAAGCCCTGCGAGGTCCTGAAATGTGCATGATAATTTTTACAACATATTCCTCTTTTACGACATTATGATGATGGCTAATTCGTTTTCCGCTATATGTAGATCAAGTTAACAAGGAGCATAAAGTATAGCTATAAACTGTAAAGAGCTTGTTGAAAGATCTTAATATATAATTTCAGTTTACATCTATTGTTTTTGTGTGATCATTAAATTAAAGTTCTTTTATGTACCAAACCTATCAGTCTCCTAGATTTTCAGCCGACAGCTGGGTGTCTAATGTACAATTTTTTTCAGATAAGCTGCAGTATTTTACCTTGTGGCTATGGAAATAAAAAATGAAATAATCCTAGAGATATGGTAAATGATTTCTAGTAACGGCGAATGATGCCTAGAAATGTGGAGGGATGTTTCGTGCATCGATCCGATGAACGATGTACGAAAAAGGTGATCATGGATAGGCCATATACTTAGAAGACCAACTGTCTGCATTTCCCGGCAATCCCTCTGCTGGAATCCGCAGGGTAGCAGAAGGAGAGAGAGGCTGAGTAATGGCTGGAGAAGTGATAAAGAACGCGCCATTCAGTTGAAGGGTTTACACATTGACTGATATGGACCGCCTGGCCAAGGACAGGGAAACTAAAAGCACTTTCAATTGGAGTGAAAACGCTTCAGATCAGATCAGATCAGTGACGTGCCTCAATTAGATTATGTGTGGTTATGTTTTATGTTTTATGAACTCCCAGTAATCGGGCGTGTTTAAAACTTTTTCCAACTTCTCTTGTCTGGAAATAGTAGACGCTGGAAAGTGAAATATTGATGATGATATGTCTTGATATATCGTTGATATTTGTTTCAGTATTGATGTTTTTAATATCCTATCTGCAGTCCGCATTCTATCATTTATAACCAGAGGTGAAGTTTGCCTTTGAAAATATGGGTGGTCCATTGGAATGAATAGATGGTCCTTGGAATGGGTACCCAAGGTGGTTCATGGACTGGGTCTACAGGGATCTATAGGGGTGGTCCAAGAACATGGCTCTATGAGGTGTCAGGTGTTCCATGGACCAGATCTACAGGGTTAGACTTGCCACAAGTCGACCTCATGAGTTTCGGGGTAGAATAGCGTCAAAATCTATACAGGCGTCCATTGGGGTGGGTAACCCGAAAACACTGACCCCCTGTCCGCGGGGCCCAACTACGGACCGGGTCCGCGGACTACCTATGGACCGGTCCACGGACTACCCCTACGAACCCCCTCTACGGACCAACCCCCCAAAATAGAATAAATAAAACAAGAAATAGATATTTCACTTATGGGTTGTTTAATAGATCGTGTCGGCGAAATTTCGAACGTTACATTTTGCAAATGTAACATTCTTTGGTTCAGGCTCGGACGCAATTCAAGTCAAATCATTACACATTTCCATTTCCTTTGCTGTGGCCATACTGTATATGAAAGACCGTGAAAGCCTCCAGGAAGCCTGCGGGAAGCCTTGAAATTTGTGCTGTTTCCTCTCCACCATTTTGTTCAGCCCATTCTAACGTGGATTCGTGAACTCATTCCAGGCTTCATAATTTGCTCAGCGCAAATTACAGATACAAACAAGCTTGAACGACCTAAAAACACGTCTTCCATGGCCAGATTGAGCCACGAATGGAAGGTAAACATCTCCTTACGCTGAAAACAGCTTTTAAGCTTTGGGGGGTGGTCCGTAGAGTGGGTCCGTAGGGGCAGTCCGTTGACCGGTCCATAGATAGTCCGTGGACCCGGTCCGTAGTGGGGGTCCGCGGACCGGGGGTCAGTCTTTTCGGGTTACCCCTATTGGGGTGGTCCATAAATTGGCTCCAAGTGGTGGTCCATGGAGTGGGTCAACAGTGGTGTATAGGAGGTGGTCCATGAACTGGCTACATGAAGTGGTTCATGGACCGGGCCCATAGAGTTACTCCATTGACCTGGGTCCTTGTTTAATTATAAAATAAACACTAAACTTCTAATATCCTCAGTACAGCTATTATATCAAGAAAATGACAAAAATGTGTTAACCTATTCCATTAAAGTTTGGGTGCCTGAAATTGTTCGAAACTGTTGTTGGCAATGAAATTCTGGACACCGACAATCTCAAAAACTGAGAATGCATCGTAAGCAAAAGGAAAACTGGACCTCCATTCTATTGCACACAGGAGCATGGTAGCAAGTAACCGCAAGTTTCAGGTCAACTCTCGTCGTCTATCGCGTCTGATACTCTTCGTGTCCTTCGACCATGCAAATGGTCATGAGAGTTATGGGAGAAATCATCGTGGATTGTCGTGCCGTTTTAGCAGGGCGCAAATGAACAAATGGACTGACACCTGTCAGTAAAAAAAAAAAATAACAATAATTCACTCATTTTCTTATCTTGGTCAATTTCTAAAAGCAAGGACATTTCCATATGGATCGAGGTGGTATTGATCGTGTCATCTCAAAATTACTCTCTCAAACTGGCTACTCTCACCCTAACTTATTGGGTTCCCTTGGTAGCCGTTGGTTTTAAAAGGAAATTTTTTGGCCCAGGTTTAAACCCGTCCCGAAAGATATTTTTAAAACTGACCCAAGTCAACTATTAGACTTTACTTAAGTCACACCTGATGTTAATGACTACGCGGCTTTTTTTAAGCTAAAACATAAAAGAAGTAACAAAGAAAAACACAAAAAACCGTAAAAAAAAAAAAAAAAGAAAAGAAAAGAAAAGAAAAAATTCGAAACCGGGTCAAGAACTGCTGAGGTGATACTAGTTTACTTAAGTTCCGCGTGGCAATTAAATAAAGGGAAAACGCAAAGCGGTGGAATTAATCGATGATTTCGAAGATCCTACTCTTCGGTTATAAATCAGATAAAGAAATAGATGTGATAGATTTATGATAGTTTTCTTTTCTGTACAGGAATGGAAGTAGACATAGATAGGGTAGAAACAGGAAGTTTTCAAGGCACCTGTTTTGTGTTTGATCAGTCATTTTCTGAGCTACCCACATCACGTCCTTCGGATTTCATGTAACTGCAGATGAACGACATTTGGAATATTGTCAGATTTACAGGTATTATTACAACTTCAAAAACTGCCGGAAGGCATGTTAGAATTAACTAGTTAGCATACTCTGTCTAGGCAAGAACGTTCTCGACATGATAAGTTAGAAACCCAACCTGTTTACACTATATCAAGTTTGTGATGTCAATGGCTATTAGATCGGCTAAGGACATGGGAACAGTGGTTCAAAAATCATCACCGGTATCAGTCATAAATAAGAAATAAGCATCGTCTGTCAATATTCTAAAAGCACTCACCTTTTTTTTCGCTAAAAATAATAAATTCAAATCAGGATAAGTGCCCGTAATAAGTTTTGATCGTCAAAAATTAGAATTTAACTTACTAGATTCATCTCCTGGGGGCAACCGGGGTTATCTCCACGCGAACAAAGTACTTACCTTCGAACAAGAGTTGCAAAGGCGATATTTTTTAAAATATACTTTGCGTTGTCTTTCTGTGCATAACTGATATCTTCCCTTCAAATGCTGAAAATAAATTCGTGTTCAGGAATCTTGTTTTCCTGAAAGATTGTTTTCGATTTTAATTGACCACATCGACACCCAATTCGCCACCTTTGACATCATATGAGGATACCGCGATAAGCACGTTTATGGGTATCTGGTAGCAATTCTATTTAAGATTTGTGTGTCTGATGTATTTGTCAGTAGCGCAGGTCAACAACTCGAGCAAGAGACATCTTTGTTAACTTGAACAAGCGGGTTTTAACTACGTCAACCATGGGAGTGAAAACTGGCTGTTTCCTTGTCACATGGGCTGTACTTCTTGCAAGTGGAAGAGCAACAAGTGTGGAAGACAGAGAGTTCATAGAGGCAAAACAACCGAGCTTGCTACCGAGCAATGAAGGTAAACAGATTTAACTTTTGTTAATCTTCTTGGTTGAACTAATCAAGGTTAGCGACCTTGATCGAAGTCTCATGAATCAAATTGTGTCGCTAGACCCTCACTACGGGTTATCTTCCTTAGGCACTCGCCACAATTTTTAGATCGCATTTTCCTCCTTGATCCCTGCTTGAACGTACTTATCAAGTTTAGCGATCTCGATCGAATCTTGTTACGGCTGGCAATCGTTTCTAGAACATTCCCGACTCAGGACAACGCTTAATATTAATTTTTAGATAGAAGTTTCCTTCCTAAAAGACCTTGAATTGCGGACATAAATCGAATTACTGTAAAAACAAGGTAACTTTCACTCACTTGAACAGACCAGCAAATAAGCTTCTTTACTGTTTGTAAAAGAACCCAGCCCAAAAAACTCTTAACCCTCCTATCTTCAAGAATGTCTCATGCAACCTGTTCCTAACTATGAAAGTCTCTTTAGCGCATGAAATTATAGACTATTTTGTAGATAGCACGAAGTTGCACCTGCACGTCACTTGCACTAATGTGATTTGGTTGTCCCTAATATATAGATCCCAGCGAGCATTCATCTTATATTAGCCAGTACAATTAGAGCTGCATATTTAAGTTAAGAAAATATTTTAGTGTTGGGTTTCCCTCTTTATCTTCTTGCTTTTCACTTCATCCCACGCAAAATATTTCTTTTGTGGGTTTTCAGCTTTATATCTCGGAGATTTGCTCTAATGAATGTGAAACATACGAACTATATTTCACTCACCCTAACTCAGTTCTTGTCGGTGTCATTTTTACCTCGTGAGTAGAAACGTGTTCGTCAAAAGAAGTGTCAGGACCGTAGGCAGACGAAAATTCTTACCGAGGCAATATCAGAAAAGAAGCACTTTGTCTATATCATGATTTACTTAATTATTCAACATTACCTCTAACAGGAACCTAAGATAGATAAATAATATAAATTCAAATCAGTTTCGTACCCAGGCAAGTGTCTTGGTTCGACCCTGAGTGAAGTTTATAAACATTGTGCCTAGGGCTTAAAACACGTTGTTATTTCTAGCAGGAATTTCAGCCGCCGCCATGGTAGGCAAATTATTTTTCAAATTTTATTGTTATTCTTGTCATATATTTCCACGCTCAAACTTTATGTAAATATTTTCAAGTTAGTCCATCCCCTAAAAATGTTTCGCTTTCCATCGATCTCCCTTGTAACTCAAAACGAGTGAGTAGGTTGGTCGGTTCAAAACATTTAGTTAAAGCGGACGAGAGAAATACCGACAAATTAACAATTTTAAAGCTTGTTACTGAATGAAATATGAAGTTTGTATCGTGTTAAAAGTGAGATAGGTAAAAAAAAAATAAAGTTCAAATAAATGAATAATTTCAAGCGAGCGCTCAGGTCATCTTCTCCGTGTCTGCAATCATACATCAATGCCACGAGAATTCTAAAAAACAGTTCGAAGACTGGGCTATGAGGACTGATTTAAATGCCAGAGTCACTTGAAGATTTAAATGAAGCGTACTATAGTTGGGAACACCCGGAAAATGGAAGAATGGAGCGATTCGACAACTCTTTTTTAACTTTTTTAAAAAAATATTGGGGACGGCCGCGCGACGGAGAACGCGAAAAATTGCCTTACGTTATTTTACCTGGTATTTTATTGCTTTCACTTTAGGCATTTGCATTAAAAACGTTCCGCAATGTGCAGAGTGCCTGGACCACAGGACATGTCAGAGATGTCAGAAAGGCTTTCTTTTACTTGAAAGTTATTGGGGCGCACTATGTGTGTCTAGCTGTCCTGACGGGTTCACCGCAATACAAACAGAAGAAAATGGCTTAGTGTGTAAAAACAGTAACGGTATGAGACTTCTTTAAGTAACGGTATAAGAAAGAGTTACAAGTACAGTGAAGACAGCCAGACGTACATAAGTTTTGTTCAGTTCCCTATGGTTGCTAAGACAGTACGGTAAACGTAAACTGACAGTAACTTACCACTGAAATTTTACACATATGTTTAGTTAGTGCTGCATTGTATTGGTTAGAAATTGTATTAATATTTGAAATCTGAAATTCCAACTCAGATTAAACTGTTTTGAGGATAGTTTCGTTTTCTAAGATAGATTTTGCGTAATGGCTGGAATTACACGTGTATCATGTTTGTCCACTCAAATGTCTGTTTCTTGTTGTAGGATGCGGTAGAATACCTCAATGTTCCCAGTGCGAGGAGAAGTTTGCTGACATTTGTGACAGATGTGAAGACGGGTTCCTACTCTTGCAGCAAGGCACTGGCGCCGAGGTTCAGTGCGTTGCTTCGTGTCCCGTGGGATTCGTGAAACACGGAACAAGATGCCGCGCAGGTCAGAACTAAATACAATGCATTATTTTCCACTGTAGTAACATTCCAACGACCGTGCTTGTAGAGGAAGCCAATGTTGCAAAAAGGAAACTGACGGAAAAGCTAACGATCAGCCTCTAGAAGTACTTTTTACTCTCTTCTGAGTATTCTTACATGAGTTCAAGATTATATCATCTAAATTCAACTATAAATTCGCCATAAATGTGACGATGGTGAATTTAGCTTGTTCATGATCAAAGTCGTCCGTTTTACACAACTAGTATTTGTGCTACTGGATGTCACATCGACATGCTATGGTCAGTCAGAAATAGGTTGACAAAAAAAAAACAACATTTAAGTCTCATGACATTAGACTACTGTTGTTGTTTTTTGCTAGGAGAATAGTTTCTCTCATCCTCTCATCATAAGGCTTCGACGAGTTTCCCCCAACTTTGTCCTAGGATCATCTTTTCGGTCTTCTTCGCTATCTTGCTTTCTTCTTACAATTACAGAAATGTGCGAGGATTTCTTCTGTTCACGTTGCAAGGAAGGCTGGGTCCTACAATACAAAGGAGGAACTAAGTGTCTCTCCAACTGTCCATATGGCTTCTATAGAAAGCAAGATTGGTACAGCGATCAATCTTACTGTGAAAGTTAGTAGTAAAGGCAGTAAACTGTTTTCATTTGCCTCAGTGTGTGTAGTTCAGAAATATCATTTCTGTAACCGGTGGCGAAGTGCGACGATCGAACGGCCAGTGCATTGTTTCCAACGGAGTGTTCCGTAACGGAGTCTTAACAGGGCTAGTTTTGTTGTGTTCTTTGTATGGGCGAGGTATTGTACTCCCACAACGCACATATCACTACATTGAGAAAATGAACAATAGGAGGTAACCAGAGATGAAATAGCATCTCTTGTGCGAGATATATGTAAATGATACTCATACTTGCATCATTATGCCTCAGGGAACAGCGGCTACGGGAGCTGGCGACAAGCCATTTGGTTCATCCTTAACCTTCATATCTGGTTATCCTCTTGTAAGGTGGCTTGCGTGAAGACCTATGCTATTGACTTTCTTTCACGCGGCACAGCGCCGTCGTCACAAGGGCAAAACTAGACGTCTGCAGCCAGACTACCTTACAAAAGGGTAACTAGTTTCGGAAATGATTTTATCACTCAGAGTTCAGCTGGACTTTATCAACGGGTACTGTGTAATAAAACACTGTTTGAATAGCGAACCATATGTACCGTTCCTCATTCTATCGGATATTTAAAATTTCCTTTTCATGCATGAGCCATGAAGTGAAAACATTAAGTAATTAACCATCAATAAATTAACCAAAAAGATAATTCTTGTAATCAATAAACGACTGAAAAAAGCCACCTGTTTTTCAGTGTGCCGAGCGAATTGCAAGAGCTGTCAAGACTCGTACAACTGTGATGTGTGTGAAGACAACTTTTTTCTTCTCGAGAGCGTTTTCTCCAAGTGTGTACACTCCTGCCCTGTTGGGTATCTCCCAGACAATACCCAGTCCCTGGGAAAGGTCTGCAAGACAGGTAGGCTGCATTCATCTGAGTCACGTCCTCCTTCTAACGCACTCAAAAGGAGCTAGGGCTGAAGTTTCATGTTAACAATAAGCATATTGACCTAATGAAGCGCGACAAAGTTCTTTGCTGTAGGTTTTTACTAGACCTTGGCCTTGACCGTGCACAAAACACAATAATTGTGTACTTCTGACGGAGGAACTTACTAATAGAAACGTTTCTGTTACGTAATTAAATCATAGTGAATGAGCGCAATACCAAAGATTGTACTCGGTACGTCGTGGTCGTTAAAACATAAATCTTGTCATCTTTCCTCCCTACTTTGAAGTTTGCTGAGTTTCATAACCATTTCCCTCTGTTAAGATTTTGAATTTCATTTGAGAAAAGTGATAAATGGTGACAAACGATAACCGCAAAAAATCTCAATACCTGTTTATCCCTGTTTATCAGATAAGAGAAAGAGCATTCAGGCGGAGTAAGTAAGTAAGCTATTATCTTTTCATAGATAAACTCGGCTGCTTAGACGAAAGATGCTCCCAGTGCCAAGAGGGCTGGTACCGAATCCGCATCCGGAAGGTCTATCACTGTCGCATGGAGTGTCCATCGGGATATTTTGGGATAGAACAAGCAGGAAAGCCAAAGATTTGTGGCCGTAAGTATGCATACATCAAGATTACGTCACATAGAGATCGGAAGCTGAAAAGACACCGATGAAGAACACATCAGAGGGCCTCCCTCATTAAACGAACGGGGATGCTTAAAGCTATGAATGATATCTCTAAAAGAGACAATCTGAGCGTGGCTCAAGCTTTGATTGACTCCAAAAAGAAACATTTCAAACAAAACAATACTTTAGGGTTACGTTGACTGGAATGGCAATAAAAAAAACCCTGTCATCAACTGGAAGAAAGTTTTAAGATCTGCCTGATCTCCTTTTTTAAGTTATTTTGGTGGTACCTTATGTGAACTAGATGGGTTAAGACGATAGCCGTCCGTTTTCAAGAAGCTGAATGAACAGAATCCTCAATTTTCAATCCGAAAGGAGACGATATGCATCTCCGCCCTTTATCATGGGAACAACTTCCTCCCCCCAACTCATTTCACCGTAAGGCATTACTAACAAGCTGCAATTTGGTGACCCAAAATTGGCGGTATGCATGACTTCCTTGACAACAAGCTAAGAAAATATTCTTAGACAAATTATCACCTCTGATATATCCGCAGGTTTTATGGCATGCCGGTAAAAAAGTACCACTGAGGAAGATTTAACCCTCATAGGAAGCGTTTGTTTTATGATTACAACTGCCGTCTTTTCTTAAAGCATCTCTATTTAAAGGAAATACTATTGGTAAAAGGGAAATTAAAAGTAACGTTAAGAGTGTGAAGGAGGGGGATCCCCCATGAAACATGCAAGGTAGAAGTAGACCATTAATACATACATGGTTTTTCATGTTTAGGTTGCCCGTATAACTGCCAAGAATGTCTAAACCCCCGGGAATGCCAAACGTGTAAGTCGGGTCTGCATAAACTCGTGCGTGGTGGAAGAGTGTATTGCGTCTGGCATTGCCCTAAAGATTACCTGGCTCATGAAAGCAACAACAATGAAAAAACATGCGTGAAAGGTAAGAAAGTCACTTAGATTATACTTCAAGTGAAAAACAGAATGCTGAGGATTTTTTTTGCTATATTCGCTACTAGATAGTGATAACATACTTAATTGTACTAATAAACGAGAAGTTCTCCTGAAGTAGCCGATCGGGTCTGACTGGATTCCCTGTGCGCTATGATTGACTAAAAGTCATGCCTTATCGGGATACAGAGTGTTTTTTCGAGTTTTACATCAGCTACATATTTTTGCTTCTAGTTTTGATTGTTCAGTGGACTGTTGTTGTCCTCTGTCAGTGATGGGCCAGAGATGGTGGAAAGCGAAATTATCAGTTGTACAGAGCAGGGTTCATACAATATATAAGAAAATATTAATCCTCTGAGATGTTTCTTTATTTAATTTTCAGCAACTGGCGATCTTCTTGGACGATTATAAGAGAGAAACTACGAGCTGATATAACATATATACGAAAGTTGGAAGTGACATTCTGTTTGTATTTTTTTTTTTTCGATAAATTTCAATGTAAATAAAGGAAGACGTATAGCTGCGGCATTAACAACCCCTTCTTTAAAGTTATTCCAAAAGATATTATTAAGATAATGGATGGCTATTTATTTAAAAGTTCCCCTCGCATCATCGCCAAAAATTATTTAGTTATAAATCTTAATGAAATCCTCAGAAAGGAAATGTCTACACAAAAGATAAGTGCTGCTTAAAAGAGTTTCGATGAGGTTATTGCATTGGTTGTTCGTAATTTAAATGAGATATATCCGTTTCCTTTCGTTTTTTAGTTTGTTTTGTTTTGTCTCATTATTTACTCCCTTCAATCGTTCCTTTATCACTGAGCTTACTTGGATGTTAAAATTAAAGTGCACTGGAAGCAAAGGAGATTATTATTTACTCGGAGACAAGAAAAAGATAAAAGGGACGTCGGGAAATTTAATCAGGCACAATCAGCACATATTACGTTGTTTTCTTTGTGAGTAAATTATTTTTTTTTCTTCTCCGATTTCGCACGATGTCCGAATTATCTGCTTGGACCTGCAAGATTGAAATTGACACAGACTGAATGTAAGAGAGAATATATCTTCCATGTTATTGCTACACAGCTTTGCTCCAAAAACTGTATTCTTGTTTCTTTCTCTAAGTCAATAAATCAGGCTCACTATGTTGAAAACATGTGTACTGTTTTAATTTTTAATTAAAATTAAAATTAAAATTACATGACCACTGGCGCAGGGGGAGCAAAGGATATTTTCCACTGTCAGCGAGTTCGATCTTTGAGTAAATCCGTGATTTAATGCTATCTAATAATGTTTTACGTCTTTTATAGGTTTCATGACTGAAATGATTGATACAAAATGATAACCGGCCATGGCAAAAATGAAATACCGGAAAGCGAAGACAACGTAGTCAAGCATGTTGTACAATGTTAGATATATCCGATAGCTGTTGTACGAAAAGGCGGGAAAACTATGTGATGGCCGACAAGAAGAATAAGATTAACTTGGAAAATAATATACTTATTGTTTCCATTAGTGTAGCTGCGGGGAGGAAGGGGGAAGGGGAACTTAACCCACATAATATCTATTTATTTGCATTTTACGCTTTTTGACCTATTACCAGTGCGCTTGTAACAGTTGTAATCCAAGCAAAACAGGCATCAAAAAATGATGTCAACGGACTACAGGATTGAGGTTAAAACAATTATTAGACTTGCTGTGAGTTATCTGAGTTGTCTGATGTAACTTAGTGTGACAGCCGTGTACCCAGCTGAAACAAATAACAACTGCACAAGAGACGAGATAATCCACTCACAAACAAAAGCTGATCGATTTGGACCATGTGAAAGACAACACGTCAAAAAGGTCCACCCTTCGATTGAAACCTGTCCCTGGCGCTAAGACTCGGTAAACGTTGGTTGTTTTTAACTCCTTTGTGTATCGGATTACTTTACGTTTAAAAAAATAAGGAAACGATTGCATCAAGTTTTCTCCTTTGTGGGAATTTGCCATCTGGCCACAAATTTAAAAAATAACATTTTGTGTTCCATGTAAAATGCAAACCTTCCGCTGCGGCAAAAATCAAAAGACCCTTTAATGCTTTTTTTTAACCCAAGTTTTATTTAATTAACTTACAAAATAGCATTTGCTTAGCCATAGCCCTTTATTTTAAAATTTGACCCTCTTATTATTACTTTCCTTTTTATCTTAAAATGTTTAAACTCTTAACTACACTTAATTATTTTTTTGTCATTTCCATTACGAGTCAAGATCCAAAGTTAAATGCATTATGCGGTCCCAAGACAGCATTACATATAATGATGAAAACAAAAAAAACACCAATGCTTTTAAAATTGCCTGCTCAAGTAAGATTTCCTCCAAATTTTTAATCGAAGGACCAAAAGCCATGATAAAGTTGGCATTAAAGCACGTTTAGATTTTGAGTTCTGAATCTGTGCTCAGTGTGTCGCACGTTAAAATTTAAACATGCCTCGAATCCATAACTAGTTTAACAATTGACGCTAGATTCTGTACATGTCAGGTTGAGGGCAGATATCTGAAACGGTCTTAATGACAAAATGGTTTTCCATTGATTGCTGTTGCGCCATTCTGCCAAACAAGGTGGAAAAACCAAAACCCTACTGCACGAAAGTAATCGAAAACTGAGTAGGCATCTGAATCCGTTGTCGTTGAAAAGGTTTTTGAATA